TGGCGTCGTGGCTGCTCCAGAGCGCCACCGCCGTCGCGCGCCTCCTCGAGCGCGCCGCCGGTAGCGTCGCGCTGTCTGGCTGCCGCCACGCTTCGTGGCGCGGCGCGGCGCCATCGCGCCGCCAGCGGCTCGCGCCGCCTCCTCTCTAGCGGCTCGAGGTCCGCGTCGGCGGTGTCATCGGCGAAATGGAGTCGCTGCCGATCTTTGCCGCCACAGAAACCTCGACCTCCGCCGCCGCCGCGCCGCTGCCTTGCGCCATTCGCCGCTTTGCCGCCTCGCGTCGCTCTGCCGCTGCCAGCCTCGACGCTTGCGCCGCCGCGGTAATCTCTGCCGCCGCGCTTGCTCGCGTTCTCTGCTGGCATGCAAGTTCGGCCTCCCGCCGCGCGCCGCGTGCTCGAGGCGACTGAAGGCCGAGATCGCCCCGGCGGACATGACGACGCGCCTGGGGGCTAACTGCGGGGAGAGGGCTGCGCCAGACGAGCCGCTTTCGTCTGCTGCAAGGGAGTGAGCGAGGGGCGGCGGGAGCTTTGCCGCCGGTGCACTGGGCTGTGTGTGTGGTGGGAGAGGAGATGAGCAGGAGATGCTCAGAGCTCTGAGGATAATATCTGACTCGATACCACTTGTTAGTCGCTGAATTCTCACTCTTGGTAGTAGGAGAATTCTTACTCTCATCGAGAGAGGATGACACTAGGAGTTGGGGCAATGTGTTAGTCGCTGAATTCTCACTCTTGGTAGTAGGAGAATTCTTACTCTCATCGAGAGAGGATGACACTAGGAGTTGGGGCAATTTTCTTGTCTATTTCTTACTCAAATGCCATACAAACCGAGGGGTTGGGGTTACATATTTTATAGGTCGCTAGCCAGCCAAGCATATGCCAAGATGTTAGTCTAAGATGCTAGTCTAAGATGCTAATATGCTGTCCTAGCTAAGATGCTGTCCTGTCCTAGCTAAGATGCTGTCCTTTAGTCTAAGATGCTGTCCTCTAAGATGTTTGTCCTGCTGTCCTCTAGTCTAAGATGCTATCCTAAAAGCGTAAAAACAGACCACAAAGGACCATGTGAGCAGAGTCTGACCCACAAAGACCACACATGAGACTTATCCATCATGGCTTGGGCGTGGACAAGACTCCCGGGCCGGTGCTATCGGCGTGGAGGCGTAATCTTGCTCGGGAGCTCCATCTGCCTTGAGGCTCATAGCCACCACTGTGGTCTCTGGGTTCGCTTTCACACTGGAGACCGAGCGGGAAGGAGACCTCCCGTGAGCAGCAACAGACACGCCGCGCAACCGTCGAGGTGGCTCTGCAGGCGGGAGGGCTTGAAACCGGCCTTGGTATTCCTCCACCGTGCCCGTACGCCGGCAAGACGCGAGCTCGAAGAGGGGGGCCGCACGGAGTGGCGGTCCAAATCGGAGATTGAGGAGCTCCTTGAAGCGCGGCCATGGCGGCGTCCCCTCGTCCGTCTGCACCTGCATGTACCAAAGTTGCGCCACCTCTTGGAGATTGTAGGACGCCATCCACGTCCGTTCCTCCGGCATGATCCGCTGCTGCGTGAAGAAGGACTCGCACTGGTTGAGGAAGATCAGCGGGTCACTCTTGCCATCGTAGCGCGGGAACTCGGGACGCCAGTGCTTGGGCGGCCGGTCTTGGTGGTGTTCGCCTCCGGATCCCGAGCGGCCGCCGGACGTGGACGAACTAGCGATGGTTAGGTCGGCGATGGCCTTGGCGTTGGCCTCGATCGACTTCTGCATCGAGGTGACGGTCTTGGTGAGCGCCTCGATGGAAGGCTTGAGATCATCTCCCATGGTGCCGACGCAGGAGGCGACGGACGACGATGGCGAGGATGGGGTGCTGGCGGTGGCGGCTGATGGTGGGCTAGGGTTTGCGGCGGCTAGTTGTGTGGTTGATGGCGCGGCGGCGGCGGAAGGCGAGGATCGACGAGACCGTGATACCAGGTTGTCAAGGACCTCAGGCCCTAGGGTAGCTGGCCCTTGGCTACGTAGTTCGTAGCCTCGGTCCGTCTTCTCCGGCGAGGTTTGCCCCTCCGCCGCAGGCTTGGGATGTTGAGAGAGATGAGAAAGGTTTTGGTGATAACAAATCTTACTTAATCCTCAAATGTCACGAGTACAAGCATATATGGCCCTTGGCCGCACTGAAAGAGGAAACAAACTCCTAGAATTAAGGATCTAAGCTGAAAGTCTTGATCACCATCGCTGGCTAGTCGCTCGGTGGTGCGGCCTGGTCGCTGGTTGCGCCCAGTGTGCGCTTTGCGGCCCGACGGATGTCCCTGGCACGGCGCCTTCTAGCGTACGTGCGCCCGTACATGACATTTGAGTAGGAAGATAGATTGACCTTTGGGTTTCAAAGTTTGTGGTTGATGTATTAAGTTTTTATAAAAAACTTGGCCAGTGGTGGAAGATGGCCCCATGGTATTGCACAAGGCCAATCTTAGTGGGGGTTTCATCCTCATTTATTAATGGTGACACATTAATAGAAGTGATGAGGTGGCAAAGAAATTAAGAGGAGAGAGAGGAGGAAACTCAATTGAGAATTGACACTGTTTCCTAGTGAATGGAAGTCCATCTAACCTCCATTGAGAGCTCACAGTTTCCTATCCACATGTTTTGACCTGTCTCGTGCGGCTCGATCCTCATTGCCCGTTGTGCCTCCTTGTTTATCATGCGCTATATATAATTTATTTTACATATGCGTCTCTATTACATATATATGAATATTGAAGTAGATTAAACTATTTCTGTTGACCAGTTTTTTATGCTCATACTTAATTTAAATAATATTGAGAGTAGCTACATTGTTCATATGGCACATTTGATCACAACACTATGTAACTATTTAAAGCTGTGACTAGCTTATGAAACTGTGAGATGAAACTATGCATTGAGAGTGATTATTTCATTCATCGAGCAGAACTTGTAAAGTTGATGTGCCACTCTTGGAAATAGTGCAATGAAACACACCACCTAGATAAGACCCTGATACCTGGGCCGCAACCACTGCCAGTACCCCTGTACGGCCACACCGTTAATACAGTATGGCACACTGCCATTATTATTATTGGGTTGCCAGTGAGGGGTCTTTATTTTCGTGCCACCAGGGTTTGAAGTTTGAACTGTGACAGCTCCCTAACTTGGGGTCTGATGAGCTAACCGTTGCGGTATGAAAGCATTGGGCATGCCCTAAGTTTTATAATGCAGGAAGTGAGTCTAGCTCAACTGGTTGGTTGGGAGATGTGGTCATGCACCCAACCACATAGGTTGAAGTCCTTTCTCATCATTAATTTGTGTGCCTATTTTCTTCTTAGTGAAAATCACCTAGTTCCTCTAGGTTGGTCACATTTTTTTAAGTTCTATCATGCTCATGCAATGATCCAAATTATGGGCAACTTGCTATTTCCTATAATGCTGACAGGATATGCAATGTTTGTGGCTAATGCTTTAACCCTGTCTTAATAAGAAATTGATTTTCTTCTATCTTTTGTGCAATGTTCCACATGTTTCCATAAGTTTTGAATGTAAAACTAAATATGTCATTGCTTGAAATGAATTATTTTCATAAATATTAGTTATCCATCAGTACTATATCTTTTTTTGAAATGAAACCATCAGTACTATATCAGTTTCTGCTTTTAGTTAACCATCAGTACTCAGTTTCTGCTTTTGGATTACACTGCTTAATAGATAAACTCTTATAACATGTGTGAAATATGAGTAGCTAAACACCTCTGAGCTAACTATAGTATCCTTGCTAACCCAGGTTGCTGCTTGATCAGTTAACCAAATAGTTAAAGCTGCTTCCCAATCCCATATAACTTAAATTTCAAAATCCAAGTACATCTGTTCAATCTCCTCTGTTCTCCACTTAAAACTAAATATCTTACATGTTGCAGTTGGTATATCAGAAATTGTCCCTGTGAATAATGTTCTTGACCTTACAAAACTGAACATGCAATTAAGTAACACATGTTAAAACTGAAGATGGTCACTCAAAACAGTTGTTCCTGCTTATATTGAATTAATTAATAGTTTCAAAAGCAATAAATTGACCTAGATTGTGCTGTTCGCTTTGCCAACCATTGCGTTTCCTTTTTCATTCACTGTGCCTGGTGCCTAATTACATCTCAGGTTTCGGAAATAGATACAACAATGTTACGGTGCATCCGTGAACTAGTTAGGCAGTATCCAAAATCACATTGAGCTGTCATAAACCATTTATGCTTATGGAGGTGCCATAAATACTACTACATCAGCTTCAGAACTTCTGACTTACCTTTTATGATGTCAGTGTTATCTAATTTGTGATAGTATTGCTTGTTTCTTAGATCAGGCAATATTTCATATAAGTGTTTAAATGCCAAGCTATCATTTTTCATCTATAAGATTCTCCAAAACAACCTTTCTTCCCTTTTTTGGCAGAATGAATCAGATGAAACATGAAATGAATTGCATATTTGATAGCTTGTGCATAATGTTTTGATTTGACGTGATACCATAGTCTGCTAGCACCCTTTGCCCAAAAAAACACAATTTGTCTATTAGAAATCTGTCACTAGTGACTTTTGTTAACCATTCATTTGATCCTCATTGATTAAAAACATTTTTTTTCTGGAACATGTAGGAGAGCTGCTTATCATTATATTAAGAGAGAGAGGGAGAGGGAGCTTACAAACACTCACACCACACACCCAACTCAGAGAACTAAAGCATTAGTAACAGAAAATTAATTTTAAATCACAAAGTGCTAGCTCAGTTGTGTAACATGGAAATATGCTAAGTGAGAGCTGAAAGCTTGAAGCAATTGCACTTGTTTGTGATGTTACCAGTGTAGTGTAATCACTATTCTGTTTATAATGTTAACAGTGTAAACACTACTGCTAAGTGCTTGGCTTTTAGACTTGTTGTGAATTGGTCTGTTTCACTCCACATTTCTATGTCTATCCTGTTGTTTTGAAAAGTGAAACAATTTTCATTTTGTGGTGCCATGCAGTTTTACACCTTCCTCGAGACAACTCTTGTCACACTCTCTTTATTGCCTCACTTCATAGCCTTCTTCAGTGATGTCGAGATCCCAGGAAGTCCTGCAGCACTTGCAACCACATTTCTCACCTTTGGTAATTGCATTACAGTTATATAAAAAATGCTCTGTATGATTCTTCAGGTATCAACTAAATTGTTCTTTCTTGCAGTGTTGAATCTGGCCTTTTCCTTGAGCGTTTTTGGTTTTATGATTATGCATATTTCACTTGTTTCTGCTAATACAACAACAATTGAGGCAAGCATCTAGCATTATGTTGTTAAGCATTTTTTTTAATGTAGAAGATGACATTAATTTGTTACCTTGATGTACAGTCATATGAGAAGAAGACAACTCCACATTGGATATATGATCTTGGCCGGAAGAGGAATTTTGCTCAGGTTAGTCTGTATTGGATTTTGTTTTGTTGGAATATAAGTGAATTGCTCACCTCTCCCCATCAGCTTAAGCTTTTGGGTTGAACTGGTTGGTGCATGCAACTCAATATGGTGTCAAAGCTAGAGGTCTCGAAATCGAATCCTGGTTAGCGCAATTAAATAAAATATAATTGCTGCTCGCACCTATTCCACGTTTGAGACCTGAGAAAGCCTCCACGTGAGGGGGAGTGTTGGAATATAAGTGAATTGCCCACCTCTCCTCATCAGCTTAAGCTTTTGGGTTGAACTGGTTGGTGCATGCAACTCAATATGTTTTAAGAACTTCCGTCAATTATTTGCTCATTTTATGGTAATCATGCACCAACATATAACTTTATTACTGCATGTGAAGATGCAAGTAGCTGAGACATCCATGATAGCTTTTGTCTTATTTGTATAACAAAACATTGTGAGATTGTGGTTATTCAAGACTTGATGTGGCACACTGGTGAAACTGTTGGAGATGAACTAATACAATGAAACTATTGGAGATGAAGTAACTTAAAGTGCCTAACTTGTCTGAGCAGCAAGACATGTAAATCTTATTTATTGGAGCTGCACAAATTTTGAGTGTATACTAAAGATCATTTTTTTAAGTGGTGATATAATTGTCCAAGCTAAAATTTCATTAATTGACTTACGATTCCTTGTATTCTTTTGTTCATAAAATGCCAAGATCAGTGAAAAATCAATAGAAAACCCAACAAAGTTGGCTGTCCTTTTTGAAGTCACTGTATTTTATGAACATATATTCAACATCGCTTTTCTTTTATTCCCCTTATTTTGTAACCATAATACTGCCTGTGTTAGGTGCGTCATTGTAGATGGCTGGCTGGAGACCATGCCCTCAGTGTGTTGAGGATTTAAGCTTTATATAGTTCCTTCTAGGAGAAAGAATATCTATAGCGATGGGCCTCTCTACACGTTATACTGATGGACAGAATCATTCCAGGCAAAAAAAAAAAAAAACTACCACATAACTATTATGTCTTATAGGAACCTAATCAGAATAATGTTGGAAATAGAAGTTGGAAAGAAGGTGCCTTCCAGCCTTGGTAGAGCCTTGGGCATAGACCTGCCATTACAGCAGTGATGGTAGCAATTGGCTGTTAATACCAGCATATGCAAGTTACTTTCGTACAAATCTATCAAAGACTTTAGTTGAACAATGTTTTGTTATCAGGTTTTTGGAAATGACAGAAAATATTGGTTCATCCCTGCATACTCAGAAGAGGATTTGAGAAGAATTCCAGCTCTACAGGGTCTTGATTATCCTGTGAGACCAGATTTTGATGGTCAGGAACTGTAATGGAGCAATTTTGCCAGTGTCCTAGTCAGATACCTCAGTGTTCGACATCTCCTGATACAACTGACAGCATTGCTGATTGCGCTAGGCATGGCATCAAATGAAATGTTCATAAGATGATTTTAGTAACCATGAGTGATTCATCTGTTGCATTTCATGTATGTATGTGACGAAGTGGAATTCCGCCTACCTTGGCCAGAGGAAGTTGTGATGTAAACTAGTTTTAGTGCCTGTTTGGGTGGACCAAATCTTGACGTAATCCACACCACACGGATGCGCCAGGATTTTGGACTTAATTCTTGGTCCATCCACTGGATTGGGCTGGGTTTCGTTCCATCCAAACTGGGCATTAGTGTGTTTCAAATAGTCTTGTACTAAAGTTTAGTTGTGCAATACAAATACCATTTGAGATATTTGTGCCGCTGTTATACACTATCAATAGTAAATGGATAAGCGCTGTGTAATTCATTGTACAACGTGTTCTTTCCATTGCCCTATAAAAGTGTATTAAAGTACTACTACTACTAGTAATGCAATGCTCACGCCGTTGTTCGATACTGATTTGATTGATAGCTGCTTTTGCTATCCAAGTCAGCTTTGGATACGAACTACAAGTAGAGCAACTTTTGCCATCCAATTCAGCTTTGATTACAAACTACAAGTAGCAAATGCGGAGATTTATTGGAGAGAAGCAAATGCGGAGATTCGTTGGAGAGAAATTTGAACAGTGTTCCTCGAGTTTGAGTTTCAGGAATTCAGCTATGTTCCGGCTGAATTGCGCACCTCTTGCGCCCTTTGACTTCGACCCATCATTCTTGTGTGTACAAGTACACCGATAGAAGCTGAGCACGGCGGCGAGCCGCACCACACCGCTTGCGGCCATGGAGCTCCCTCGGGACAGTATCCCCGTGGTCTTCCTTGCCGTTTCGGCCGCCTCGCTGTACGCGCGCGCAGCGTCCTCGCGCTTCCGCCCAGGCCTCCCCCGTCTCGCCGCTCTGCTCCCGGTGGTGGCGTTCCTCGCCGCGGTCCCCCTGGCGTTCACCCCTTCCGCTGTAATGCGGGGCGTGGCGGGCTTCTTCTTCGCGTGGCTCGGCGCGTTCAAGGTCTTCCTCCTCGCCGTCGGCCGCGGTCCGCTCGATCCCTCTCTCCCAGTCCTCCCTTTCCTCTTCACCGCTGCGCTCCCCATCAAACTCAGGCACGGCGGTGCCGGCCGTCCGGACGCCGCGGGACCAGCGTCGACGTCAAGGGCCAGAGCGCTGTCCATCGTATCCTGCTCGGTGAAGGTCGCTGTCATAGCTGCCCTTCTCCGTGTCTACCATTTCAAGGACCAGCTGAATTTCTACGCTCGCCTCGCGCTATACGGCATCCACATGTATTGCTTCGCCGACCTCCTCCTCCCCTGCATTGCGGCCGCCGGCGGGGTGCTCGGTATGGATCTGGAGCCACAGTTCGACCGGCCGTACCTGGCGTCGTCGCTGCGCGACTTCTGGAGCCGGCGGTGGAACCTGATGGTGCCCGCCATCCTCCGGCCGTCGGTCTACGACCCCGTGCGCGCGCGCACCGGGAGGGCGGCCGGCGTCATGGCCGCGTTCCTCGTGTCCGGGCTCATGCACGAGGTCCTTGTGTACTACATCACCCTGCGTTCACCCACGGGGGAGATGACAGCGTTCTTCCTGCTCCATGGGGCGTCCTGCGTGGCCGAGGAGTGGTGTGTGCGGCGGTCGGTGTCCACGGGTTGGCCGACGGCACCGCGCCCCGTGGCCACGGTGCTCGTGGGCGTGTTCGTGGCTGGCACGGCGTTTTGGCTGTTCTTCCCGCCGATCTGCAGAGACGGAGGGGAGGAGGCGCTGCTGGATGAGTGGGCAGCGGTGGCAGCGTTCTTCGTCGGCGCCGGGCAAAAGATGTTCTCCGGTCTCCATGATGTTTGACGGTTTGATTTTGACTTTTACACAGGAGGTTCCCATCGTGGTGTGGTAAATGCTTCGAAATGAGATTTATTGTATGGCTGAAGCTGAGGTAGCTTATCATATTATTTTTTTAAGGGGATGGAATTATATTAGAACTCGGCATAGTACGACCCAAAATTATACGTGAAAAAAATAAAATAAAAAAATTATAATATTAATTTCATCGTCGTCTTATCTAGTGTTTTTTTCTTGATGCCACCTATGTCCTACATGAACAAAGCCTCGTGAATACCGAAGCCAATATACAGTCCTTAGTTATGTCAAATATGTCGATCAACCCTAAGATATTGGACATGCCATAAAATCCAACATTCAGTCCACAAGGTATTTGAATTACCGAAAGAACATCAACCATTGAATCATCGGGTATATTATAGGCTGTAGATTCATCAGTACCTCTTACCCATGATCCATTATGTTAGATACTTGATTTCGTCTCCACGGCCGTCGACAACCCGGAGTTACTATCCTTAGCACTCCTCCCCTTGAAGATAATAGCCATAAACTGACCTCCTACCGACGAAATCAACGCCTCGTCGTTGTCATCACCCAAGTTATCGTAGGTAACAAGTTTTTGACCAAAAATTATTTGATTTCATTGATAGATTGTTTGACTAAACCTAAGCAAAGTATGTCTAAAGAACTGCTATAAATGATAGATGGGTCCCCTCTCCTTCTCACCAAAGCTAAGCTGATCCATATCTATATCTATATCTATATCTATATCTATATCTATATCTATATCATCTATATCTATATCTATATCTATATCGATATCTATATCTATATCTTATATTTTCAACCCCTATTAGCATTCTATCTCGTCATACAAGCTGTCAACATCAGTATCGACTAGCACGTGATTACGACAACCCACTAGCACATTGAAAGCCTCATGTTTGGTTTTGGTAATTGAGACAACTAGTAGACTAACCTTTTGATAAGTGTTAATTAAGCTAGGTGAAATTCACATCAAGATGGTGAAGGTTCTTGTTTGGTTTTGGTAATTGAGTGACAACCTTAGGTGGACTAATATGTGTTTGAGTGAGATACACAGGTGATTAGTCCACATGTACATCATGTGTGAGCAACCTATGTCATGGATGTGAAATGGCTTAGATATGTTGCAAGGCTCACACATGTGATGAAGACTCATTATTGCATATGAGACATGATATGGAGTCATGTGACTAAGGTGGAGAAGATCAAGACAAGACTTGGCTTGATGGACTAGTTACAAGCGTAAAGAGCAAGTGAAGGCTTTGGAGCAATGGACCGCGTGGCGGTGAAGCTCGAGCAAGACTTGGTGTCGATGGACGAAGGCAACGGTGAAAAGCAAGTGAGGTCAAGATCGATGAACCAACAAGGTCACGTGATGATATGAAGTGGATCATATCATTTGTGATATGGTTGGTGCATGTGTTGCATCAACATTGGAGGAGATGGAATGGAATGCGCAAGACAAAGACATAACCTATAGGACATTTCATTTCATCGGTCATAGGTGTGTAGAGAAGTTTATGACCAGGTTTATGATAGATAGTCGTATTATCAAGAGGGGCAAACTTGTTTGCATATGGTCATCTAGTGCCACTTGAGCGATCTAACTTTGCATACATGTTAGGATCGAGTGGCGCGGTGAATTGAGTGACTAATCCTTTAGAAAATATTTGTGAAAAGCTAACATAACTGCACAAGGTGGTGTATCACTTGGAGTGTTAGCACATTTGCAAAGGTGTTGGAAAAGGTAAAGAAAGGAGGTGAAACCGGGCTTGGGGTGCTGCCTTGGGGGCACCGCCACCTCTAGGGCGGTGCCCACTTGGCCTCGGTGCTGAGCAGCTGGGAGTGGGCGGTCATCGCCCTGACTGGTGTGCACCACGATGGGCAGGGCGGTGGCACTGCTAGGGGGTGTCTGATGCACCGTCGGGGCACCACCCCATTTTACCCGAGGGTAGCTGAAGTGGGGCTGGTCGCCACCAGGGCACCGTCGTTTTTTCCAAAGAGGGGGTCTCGGGTGGCTTCATCACTACCCTCCCTAGGGCAGTGCCACCACCACTGTGTCCGGTGACCAATGGCTAGTTTGTTGCCGTTGGAATTTGACTGTTGGAAAGGGCACCGCCGTGTCCGGTGCCCTCGCAGACAGCAGCCCAAAAGCTCCAACGGGTCTATTTAGCTTGGGGGCTATAAATAGAGGTGGAGCTCAGCCTTGGGCTGGTTGCTAAGCACCCTTAAGCCTTGGTGGCTTGTGTAGGTGTGCTTGGGAGCCCTCTAACTCACATACACTTGATAGTGATCATCCGATTGAGTGTGAGTGCGATTCTAGTGCGATTGCATCATGAGGTTGCATCGAGTGGCACTAGGTGATCGAGTTGAAAGCCGGTGGTGCTTGTTACTCTTAGAGGTTTCCACCTCCTAGATGGCTTGGTGGTGGTCTCCGTTGAAGCACGTAAAGAAGATTGTGCGGTGCTCCGGAGAAGTAATTGTGAGGGGGATTGTGCTCACCCCGCGGGAGCCGCGAAGAGCAACTCTAGTAGAGCAAGACGCGAAGAGCGACAAGTGGTCTAACCAGGTCAAGTGCTAGAGCTTGTGCTAAGCACTCCATGTTGGAGAGTGTAACTTACGGGTCACCACTAGCAAGAGGACTGGCGGCAACCTTGGAGCTTGTCTCAACGGGAACTAGCATGTTGGCAAGCACGTGAACCTTGGGATAAAAATCACCGTGTCATCCTTGTCTTCCTATTGGTTTGCATCCTTGTTACATAAGCTTGTATTTACTTTCATATACATTGTGCTTGTGTGGTTGCTCTTGTAATTAGTTAGCTTGGGTAGCTTGCTAGTTACCTATTTGCTTGTGTAGCATAGAAGTGGCTCCCTTGCCTGACTAATTTGGTTTGAGTAACCTTGTTAGTCACATTGCTTAGTTTGTGTAGCTAAGTAATTTGCGCTCTCTAATTTGGCATTAGTTGCCTTGTTATTGAGCATTGCTAGTGAGCTTAGGCTTTGTGTTTTTGCATACTAGTTGTGTAGGAGCTCCCCCGTGCTTAAAGTACTAATTGCATAGGTTTGTGTGACGTTGCTCTAGAATTGATTGGGTGAGCTCTAGTTAGCCAGGCACCTTTGTTACCTAATTAGGATCTTTTTAAGGTGCTTGTGAATTTAGATAGAGGGGTGTAGTCTTGGCTAGACCGATAGTTTTAATTCCGCATTTATTTTGGTTAGCCGATGCGTTTAATTTTAGAAAGGACTATTCACTCTCCTCTAATACGCCATCTCGACCCTACACATAGTATCGAAGCCAGGTCTCTCATTTATGGTCTTCACCGACCTGAGAGGATGACGACTTATGGGCTAGATGTTGATTGTCCACACACTTTTGATGGCACATACTTTACACGATGAAAAAATTGGATGATATGCATTTTAAGTTTATTTGCCGTCAAATGTGGTGGATGGTAGATGTAGGCTTTTCTCATATGTTGGATGAAGAGAATCTAACTCAAGCACAAGAGAAATGCCTAGATCTCGACACCCAAGCTATTGACATCATGTATAGATCTTTGGATGATAGAATATTCGGAGAGATCATTGACATGAAGACCGCCCATGAGATTTGGAGTTATCTCAATGAGAAATATGGGACGGTCTCTGACGATGAGGATGAGCCTAAGGAGGAGGTGCATGAGTGTGTTGAGCATGACCACGATTTGGTGATTGTGGAAGATTGCTCCATCTCATGGTCAAGTGATGATGATGATGATGATGATTCTACCACAAGATCACTTGACAAGATTGATGGTGATGATGATGGATCATGCTCGTGCTATGAGAGTGATGTTTCTTCAAGCTCTCCAACTACATCACATTGCTTCATGTCACAAGGTGACACTAAAGTATCTAATGCAAATGTGATTAATCTTGATTCATATGAGGAGCTTCTAGATAGATATGGTTGCATGATCAAAGCTTTAGAAGAAGAGATGGCTAACACTACCACAAGAATTTTAACCATGGCGTGCATTTTGGCATAACCGAGGCGGGCAAGCCAACTGCCTCGGTGCAAAGGTCACGGTTAATCGTGGCCTTAACCGAGGCGGTTGGCCAACCACTGCGTTTAATACATATGAACCGAGGCGGTTGTCCTAAAGAACCTGCCTAAAGGCACCCACCTTCGTTAAACCTTTAACGGAGGCGGCTGTTATTAACTGCCCGTCTTGGTTAATGATTTCTAGATTTAAAAAAATGCTGTTTCAAATTAGAATTAGAATTTGAATTTTGCTAATGAAAACACAGATAAGGCAGAAAATAGATGACAAACATATGTTACATTCATTCTCGTTCGATGAACCAACATTACATTAGAGATGTCTTCATCATTATTTCACAAACACACATCATTCATACATGAGCTACTAAGGTAAGTCATACATATCAACTTTCCTTGGAAAAGAGGTCCGGCAGAATGTAATCCGAGATTTGTAACTGGGTGCTCCAGTTTCTGATCCTCTCAAACTTCGGATCCCGTGCTAATTCGCTTTCCTTGTTGAAGAACTTACATATGTCTGCTACTGTTTGTCTAAAGTTTTGGTCAACCTTCTCCCTTCGCCACCATCCTTGTGCTTTCTTGAGCTGCCCCAGCTGCTGTTGAATTTGCTGCACGTCCTTAGGTACTCGCAAACGTAGAATCCACATAGAACTGAGCCATAGGGTTGTTTGGCACACTGCATGATATATAATACACAATCATTAGAACATATATAGAGAGCAGTAGTAGGATAGTATAATATAGGAGTAGTAGTAAGAGTAGTAGTAGGTATAGGAGTAGAGTAGAGTAGTGTAGAGTAGTAGTAGTAGGTAAAGTAGTATATCAGCAGTAGTAGTAGAGAGCATGCTCGATATAATAGCACAAATGACTTACTGGGAACTCACGCCTGAGTTTCAGTTTCGTGCCATTCTTGATTCTT